CAGATGTAATTGGCTGAATGGCTTACTTCTGTCCCTACATCTTATGGTCTTATCTTTATTCGATTGGACAAGATGGACTAATGAAATCACAGCTTTGTAGATACTGTCAAGGTTGCCATTTTGCTGACTCAGCATGCAGTCAACTTGAGTAGTTCAGATTTAGGAAATTCCTGCCATTCTGTTCAAACTCTTCCTTTCTGATTCTTTGAGTTTCTGCTAGAGGTAGATGAAATTCTCCATTCTTGTGGCTAGTCTGTAAAAGGCAAACAATTCAGTTGATATTATTCTCACTGTTGTTTCCTTCAGCAGCTGAATTTGAGTTGTAGTTGGTATTGATCATGACTTCTGTTAACTGCTGTTCAGTTATCTAATGAGAATTAAATGCATCTTATGTTTAGGTGTGACGTCCATTCAAGAAATTGGAATTATGGGAAAAAAATGTATTTTAGAAGTATCTGTGCCGCTGTTATACTTAAATGTTTACTTTGCACCTTAGAGTCCACTAGTTGCAAAACTATTGGGTACAGCACTATTACAGTTTCTGTTGCAGTACTTCTTACCACAGTAAGACAGTTTGTTGCCGTGCAATAGACTTGATTCAAAAAGCTCCAGTTGAAATTAAATAGGGTAGAAATTCAGAATAACTCCTGGGAATGGACAGGAAATTGGCTAAAATGTAGGAAAAGCATGGAATACTTGCAGAGACTTTGTCATAGCATGGAAAAGTCAAGATTTGCAAACCTGAGATCACTGTTATGTTAGTGAGTTTGAATCAGTTTGTATCTAACCTCAAATTATCAGACTGCTGTATCTGAGGATACAGCTCAGAAGCTAAGAATATGAATTGAACAAAATGGTGGTGGGGGTGGGTACAATTCCAGATAAAAGTTGATACTGACTGATAAGTATTGTTGAAACAGCTGAAACGACTCTCAAGAATGAGGAACTGCACCTTTTAATTTGTATTGACAAGGGAATGAAAAGGTGTGCATGTAACAGGACGGCGTTGTTGAGTACACAATCAGATCAGCCATGATCTTAGTAAATGTTGTAGCAGGCTCAAGGGCTAAATTACCTACTCCTGCTCCAAATCTGTGTATGTTTGTATATTCCATTTACCTCATTCCATTGTTCATTAACACCTTCATTTCAATTAAACAGGTTGAGTTTTTTATGACTAACCTAACCTCAAAAGCCTTTCCATGCATTTTCAGTGCCCTATAGGGAGATGCTTCCTGATACCACCCTCAAATGGCCTAGCTGCAATTTTTAAGGTTTTGTCCAATGTTCTGGATTTGCCCATCTGAGCAACTCTATCAACCCATCAACTTCTTTAACTATTTTAATCTGCTCAGTTAGGTCACTCCATAACCTTTTTAGCCTATAGAATCATTCTGGTAAATCTACACTGCATGAAAAAGAAAGAACAAGACACCATTGCCAGATAACCAATTCAGTCTACATAACAGAGCTTTCTGAGTATGAACCAGAATGTTTGTAGTTGTCCAAAATGTCTCCAACATTTGCTCCCTCACTAAGACTACCCATTTCCATTAGCTTATTGTCAGTCCCCTGTTTTCCACCCTTCATAAACATTATCTGAAGCCCAGCTACCTGTATCCTAACTCTCACCAAGCTAAATAACTAATCACCCTATACTTGAGCTACATTAGCTCCTGGTTAAGCATCATTTTTTAAAAATCACATCCTTGTTTTCAAATTCCTCCACTGCCTTGCTCATCCCTATGTCTGTAACCACCTTCAGCTGTACAATTTTTGCACAATTCCAAACAATCTATCATTGGTGCCTGTACCTGTCTTCACCCTTAGCAGTAGAATTACTTTCTTCAACTTTTCAGTAGCTTTCCTTCTAAACTGCGGAGCCACTCAGATGTTCTGGGCACACCAGTCAGTGTGCCAATGTATGGACCTCTGTAAACCACTGCTGCGCATGGAGCTTGGCGGCTCACCTGGTGGAATAAAAATTAGAGGGAACATAGCTCAGCTCATCAATCTTTGACTTCACTTTCCTACTTTAGATGCTTCTTAAAAGTCTATATCTGATCAAACCTCTAGTTATCTGCCCAAAACTAATATCTGTTTACAGGGCTTGGTTATTCACATTATATTTGATAATGCTCCAGTGGTTTATTATGTTGAAGGCCCTAATAAGGTTCTTGTTTCAGCAGCATTTTGTTATGAGAAAGTTGACTCCAAGAAGTTGAGGCTCCCATAGACATATCACATTTAGGCTGTCAGCATTGCACAAGTCCTAAAAGTGGTTCTCTCTTATCTTCTGAAAATGCTCAGTCCAGTATAGCACTGAAGAAGACAGGAAAGCCTCTGGTTGAACCTGTGGGGTGAAAGTAGAAGTAGAATAGTTAGCCTCCACATTCCTTGGTATATGACAGGAAAAATCATCCAGGATTACAGTAAAATTGCACAGGTCTTTCAGCCCATCTGAAAGAATTAGTCCTACTTCCATGATCTTTCCTCAACTTTCTTCAGGTTTTTTTTTAAATTTGAATTTCGATCCAGTTCCCTTTCTAAATTTTCGATTGAATCTGCTTCCAGCACCCTTTCAGACAGCATTCTTGATCGTAACCTTATTTTTTCTTACATCAGTGATGATCCTGTAAGTGGAAATAGTTTCACTATATCTATTTTCTACTAAAGAAAAACCTCATAATTTTAAGCACATTTAATAGATCACCCTTTAGTCTTGGACCCAAGAGAACAACCTCAGCATTGGCTCTCCATACAAATTCCTTCATACCAGGTGTCACAGGTAAATCTGTTCTGCTAAACTTTGAGATCCTTTGTAAAAGTACAGTACCCAGAATTTAGAAGCAATATTCCATTTGAAATCTAACCAGTATTTTACTAAACTTCGTTGCTTTAGCAAAGTATACTTCTATTTATATGCAAAGTATTTCACATGCATTTTGAACAGTGTATCAACTTGTTCTGCCGTTTTCAAAGACTTGTGTGCGTAAACCTTCAAGTTTCTTCTGGTTCTGTATTGCCTTTTCAAGTAGGAATATTTTGTTTATATTGCGCGTTCTCAGTCTTCCTTCCAAAAACATATCACTTCACATTTATCTGCAATAAACTTCATCCGCCATACATCCATCCGTCCTTCTGCAGTATGCTAATACCTTCCTGTTGTTGATTATTTGGTTATTGAAAAGTGAATGTTATTGCCTGTGATAACTGATAATGAGGTGAGTCTACCTATATTCATTGACAAGGGTTAGTATTGGGGAGGTGAAGAAATGTTGCAGATGCCTGTGGAACCCATTTCAGAGAGATTTGTCAGTTTCAAGAGGAGATGAGAAATAACCATGTGACAAGAGATGCACATTGAGCAGTTACTTTCAGACCATCGCAATTCCAGTATCAGTATTCAATCCTTTTTAAACCCTTGAATGAAAATTCAGTAAGTTTCATTCTGACTTTCAGAATAAATGAGATATAGCTTGTGCCTTTTTAATATATCAAACCATTTATATATCCCTGGCCTTCAATATCCTCATTGGATAGAGGGAAGTGGTTTAGAAAGGGAATTCTGGAGCTTGGTCTCTAGCCAGCTGAAGACACGGCAGCCATTAGTGGATCAAAAGCAATCTGGGTGTTGTAGATTCTTGATTAGCATAAGCTAAATTGACAAACTGGGAATTAAACTTCTAAGTGTCCTTCCTGGTGTGCATTAGCTTCTTGCTGTTTTAACTGGCAGCATGATTCAGGGAGCTATGTGGATGCAATATTCTAAAGATCTATTAATAAACTATAAATTTAAATTGCCTGCGAGCAGATCAGAGTACTAACCCTTGGTGCCATGTGAGATACAACCTTGCATTATGTCAGGCATATGTAATTTGTATTGGAAGTGCATTGGAGTGGAATATTCTCTCAGAATGCAATGTAATTGACATAAAGAATAATACAATTTGAGGCATTCTCCAAGGAATCCTGTCAATGCTAATTGCAACTCTGCAAGTAATGTGCAAAGACTTCACAGATTTTCCTGTGATCACCATCTGGAGCACACTGAGTTAGACATTGGTCTCACCTCAGTTCAGGCTCAATCCAGACTTTCTCTACTGGTTGCAATGTTCTGACTTGAAATTAATTTGGGAAGTCTCTGTCTAGAATCCAGTGAGCACTAGTAAGTTATTGTTCTGAAGGAGTGCTGTGCAGCCTATCATAATGGAGATTAGGGTTCATTTTGTTGTGTGACATTGACAAATTCTTTATCTGAAAGGCTGTACATTGTTTACACTTACTACTAAACTGAACACTTTCCTAGAAATTTGTCCTAACTGATCTTTGTTCTAGCATTCTACCTTCAAAGCCTACAGGAGTGCAGCAGGTTTTGAGTACAGATTTCTGTGTCAACAGACCAGAGCTTAATCATTATACACATGAAAATTTAATTTTTCCAAATCCCATCTAACTTAGAGTTCTGAACATCTGCTACCCTCTGGTTGCTCATCCAATGACCACTTTTCATGCGCACTGAGCAGTGAATGTCAACAGACTGAACTCCAACATCATTCAGTTAACCTGAGGTGAAGCTGCCTTTACTTAAGACATACAGATGTGCGTTCTTTTGTCTGTCATCATTGATGCAAATTAGCAAAAGAAGCCCGAGCTTTTATCTACTACGTTTCAAGGTCATTGCAAACCAGTTGTAGTACCTTTAGCCCCTGCACTAGATGGGATCAGCTAGCTCAAGACAAAAAAAAATTATAAATGGTCATCACTGCATTCTATGACTGAGAGGCCCATTGCTTTTGTTAACCGATGCCGTGAAGGAGAATGATTTCTCTACGTTTAATCTGACCAGTATTAGAAGTTAAGAAAGTGGAAGGGTAGAGTGATCTTCCTTTTGTTAGGATTGTATTCCAATTTTGATAACCTCTAGTTTATCTCAATCAAGTTGGTGAAAAGGTGATGTCGTGAACTGATTTACTCTGGAGAATTCTGGTAACCTTTTTATGTTTGCTGTCTCTCTACAGATCAGGACGGACTCAGTAAGATCATACTCTTCTTCAATAGCACCAACTACCCCTCAGACTAGGATCAGTGTGCCTCATGTAGCACCACAGCCCTCTCCTCCTCCCCCACCCCCACCACCACCCCCACCCCCTCCTGCTGCTCCCTTTAACAAATACAGCACCATTAGCAGACAACAGGCAAGCAAACAGCCAGTCACACATTCCTTTGTTAATCTGCCCACTATGGGGCAGCAGGCTATCCCACCAGCCCCGCCCTCGCAGCTGCTGAAGCCACAGTTGCTAGTTGAAAGTGATGGGCAGTGTGTTCCTCTGCCAGTTCCCTTGACTCCTCCACCCCCACCACCCATTCAAACAATCCCTGCTGTAGCTGCATTGAAACCAGAACCATCCAGTCCTTCCCCCATACTTCCTGCCTTCACCCCACCACCTCCACCACAGAAATTACAACAGCAAAACATTCCGGCCGTTGCGCAGCTGTTGGTTCCTCCTCCTCCACCTCCTCCACCACCACCACCTCCCCCTCTGCCAGCTGTATTGCAGGCCATTGTCCCTAAAAAGATAGCAGCTCCATTCAGCACCTCTGTAAATCATCCACCTCAAACAGCTCCTAAACCAGCAGTGTCTAGTGTTGTTCAGATGGAACCCCTTCCAACACCACCCCCTCCCCCAACCCCTCCCCCAACATCAGCAAAACCACCCAAGTTCTCAGTTGCACAGATGCCGATGCCACTGCCACCACCCTCTCTTCCTTCATCCCCTCACCTACCTGCACCAAAGCAACTGGGTGAAGCTACAGACCAAGTGCCCATTCCTCCTCCACCTACAGTATCCATTGTGAAACAGTCCATTAGCCAGTTCCAGCCTCCACCACCACCACCTCCACCTGCAAAGACGCCAGCAACCTCCCTTCCAGCTCCCATGTCACCCCCAGCTGTGAAAGCAAAACCCAAATGGCAGCCTAGTTCCCTCCCATCACCTGAGTTTCCTCCTCCACCTCCTGAAAGCAGTTTACCCCAACCTCCCCCACCTGCCCCCACTCCTCCTCCCACTCCAATCAAATCCGCTTCGGTCAAAAAACCGAAAAAAACATCCAGCCCCAGTGCCAAGAAGCCACCTCCCACACCCCAGAGGCATTCCAGCATAAAAGGATCCAGTTGTGCAGATATGAAGGAGTCCAGAAATCCTGTGGAGCCCCTATGCAACAAGTTTGAACAACCAACAGTTTCCTTAGCCTCTCCAGCACCAGATGCCACAGCTTCACCGCCTGCTCCCTCGAAGCCTGGCAAGTTAAATTTGGCTGCAGTAAATTTGATGTTCCCACCAGGAGTGCAGCCAGGTAAAGGGCCAGGAGTTCCAACTGCTTCAAAGGAGCCTGTGTCCGAGTTTCCCTCGCCGCCTTCGGATTCAGACTTCCCACCCCCACCTCCAGATTTAGATCTTCTACCCCCTCCTCCAATGGAGATGGCAGCTCCTGGTGGTTTCTCCAATGCTGTTCCACCTAAAGTAGCTGTGGTAAACCCTCAGCCGCAAACCTGGTCCAAATCATCTGTGAAGAAGGCGCCACCACCAGTACTTCCCAAAAGGAGTGACAGCACCCGCTTGACACAAGGAGAGCCTACAGAACACCAAGCTCCTCCCATCAATCCAGTACCAGTGTCTCCAAAACCAGCCTTGTCTGTACAGCCTCATTTTCTGGCTGACCTCAATAGGACTCTGCAAAGAAAGTCTTTCACCCGACATAGCTCGGTAACCTCTGCACGTCAATCCAAAGCAGACACCATCACCACCATGGATGACATGGTGCTTCCTCCCCCTCCTCCTGAGTTGCTTTTTGACCAGGAATCTACTGGCGCATATGCATCTGGCAACATCTCAGGCTATGCAACGTTACGGCGTGGACCACCTCCAGCTCCACCCAAACGGGGAGACAGCACTAAGTTGAGTCGGGATTGTTGATGACCCAGCCGCCTATGTGCTGTTTACATGCTGCTCCATATACTCCTCATCTGCAATATTCAAAGCGATATATTAATTGCCTTTCTTAAAACTCTGGCTGCATACATCTTCAACAAAATTAGATCACATTACTCTTTGTAGAAATCCTCATTCTTGGATCAATGAAGTGTTGTGTTTCACTTGTAAAGTCAAATCGCTCTACTTGTGTAAATATGGATGCTTTGGCATATAATGAGACCCAGTATTGGGACAGGGTGCTGGAGTTTGTGGTTTATCTGAAAGTTTCCCAGTTAGTTCAGTGGGGATAGTTGAGGTGGACCCAGAGAAAATGAATGCTTTCCTTCCACTTAGTCCTATTAAAGGTCGTTGTGATTTAATTTGGAATTTTTGTCTTTGCCATTGGAAGACTTCTTAATTGGCAACCTTCCCAGTGTGATTATTAGCAGTTTTCTTTGTTTTTGGGAGCTGGGACTAGAAGTATGGTCATGATCAGTTGGGGAAGGGACTGTTAATTTTCTTCATTCTATTGGTTTTCAACATTTTAAATGTTCCTCATGGAAATAAAGCCTACAGAATGTTGACTGATTGGAGGTTTGGAATTCTCATATGTTTTGATCTGACAAACCCTTCTCAATTGGAGTCACCTAAGACTTTAAGCTTCTATTTTGAAGGGTGAAACAGAGCATCAGTGACTTAGTTTTTTTTAAAATCTAAGGTGTTGAAGCTTTTAAATGATTGAGTGCAAGAAAGGTGATAAAGAATAGATCTGGATTCTCACAACACAGGTCCAAGAATAAGATTGAAAAGTTCACTGCTACTTTTACAATTATTTTATTTGAATCTACTGACAGTATACTGATTGAGCTGGTTTGCTGCTGGCAGGATAATCTTAGATTTATTTTGTAGTTTTCTGTTGAGCTAGTTCATCTCGGCTGGAGAGCTGTTAGGTTGTAAAATTGAGCTGGGCTGAGTAACTTGGTACCAATAACCCCCCTTTCAAGTAAATCTACCAATGACGTCAAATTCATCTTGGTTGTGGGAGATTATGTTCTTTCCTTACATTTACTGAAGGCTACCCACTTAAATACGGCACCCAGGTAACCCAGCAACAGTTACTGCCTTGTGGGGAGGGAAGAATATGGAAGGGGACAGGGCAGGGCAGCAAAGAAATTGCCATTAAATTAAATGCCATTAATTGCATTTAGATAAAAAGAATCTAATGTCAAGATAAAATCTGACAGCATTTTCTTTCCAGATTTGCTAGCTGGATGTTCCCATGTGGAAATATTAGAGTTGGTCTAAAGCTGTGTGACCAACCACTCAGTGGTGTCTTAATGTAGGTGGACAGCAAAATAATTCTGGAAAGGAATTGCCCAACCTAAACCTTTTCAGTTTTTTTTCCTTTTAGAAACCAGATCATTTCTGGCAAGAATCAAAACTTTATGGATATTTTATTTTACAGATCTCGTTGAAATGATTTCTACTTTTTTTTGAAAAGACTGGTGTTATCTGTCACCACAGGACCTGACTTGCCTTGAAATGTGTTGGAATGAAAGACCAAATGCAAAATAAGCAAGCACATAGCATCGTAACAGCATGTTTGTGATTGGTATTTGCATCAGATTACAAGTACTATGGTTGGGCAACCTTCTTGTGTTTAAACATCAGTTGTGATTGTGTTTTACAACATCTCCAGAATTTTACAGAATTAGAGGAGCCATGTGGTACATTATGTCTGTACCAGCTCCTTGGAAGAGTTAGCCAATTAGACCCTCACCTACCTTTCCCCACAGCCTTACAATTTTATCCAATACATCCAAATTCCTCTTGAAAGTTAGTATTGAATCTGCTTCAGCCACTGTCTTTCACGCAATGAGTTCCAGATCATAATTCACTGCATAAAACAAAATTTACTTTGCCTTGCTTCCTTTGCCAGTTATCTTAAATCTATATGTTGTTGCCATCATTTTTGCTTGTGCTGCAGTATAATTTACTTACTCTTATCAAAGCTTTCTTCATATTTTTGAATGTCTACATGAAATCTCTGGTTACACTTCTCTGCTGTAAAAAGGACAATCAAAGCTTCTGCAATCTCCCTGAATAATGGGATTTCTATCATCATTGGTCTCCCAACTTTTAAAGTAGTCTGGTACCGACCAGTAATTTTCCCCTGTGATATATTTCCCTTCACCTCAAATCAGATGCCTGCTGAGTTTTCCCATTCACTACATATGATGTATACATACAGCATTCCCATTCATTACTTATCCATGTGCATGCCAGGTATTTCATTTTACTGCATAGTCCACATTCATACACAATATTGCCATTCATTACATTTACTTTGTAATTGCCATTCTCTACGTGCCATGTGTGCGCAGAACATTCCCATTCACTACACGTGTATGAAGTATTTCATTTACTACACAGGCTGTGTTCATACACAGCATTGCCATTTCCCTACATCAATCATTAGTGATTAGGAATACTCTACATACATGTCAAATGCATGCCTACACAGTATTCTCATTTACTGCATCAACCATGTACATGCAGAGTATTCCTATTCACTGCATTGACTATCGTGTGCAGTATATTGCCATTCACTACATCAACCATATGTTCAGAGTATTCCCACTCACTACATAGACCCTACATGTGGAATATTCTTGTTCACTACAGTTTATGCGTGCACAGAATATTCCCATTCACATCTGCTATATACATAGAGTATTCCCATTAAGTACGTAGACTGTGTGTGTGTGTGTGTGTGTGTAAAAAAAAAAAAGTATTTCCATTCATTACAGCATTCGTTGAAGTTCTATTAATATTTTCAGTGCGTCAGTTGCTAGGTGGTACCATGTCTAAGAGTTCATGTGGGTTTTTGATGCATCGTTACTGTCATTTTTGGTACAAAATGAAAACATCCGTTGGTCAGGTGGATGTTTGTGAAACACACTCACCATAAGTAAGATCCTTAGTACTCTGCATGTACTTGTTAGGTTATCTCTATGCAATATGCTGAATTCAGTTTTGTTTGTGTATGAATACATGTCACACGTCTTTTTTGGGGTTTTTTGTGACCCAGTCTGGAATGAATGAGCAACCTCCCATTATGCTTGGTATTTATAACTTGTTAAATAATGATGCTAGCTGGGCTTAACAAAAAAAAAACCTGCGGATGCTGGAAATCGGAATCAAAAACAATAGAGATTGCTGGAAAAACTCAGCTGGTCTGGCAGCATCTATGGAGCGAAAGCAGAGTTAACGTTTCAAGTACTGTGGCCCTCTTCAGAACTGATGTAGCTAGGAAAAGGTTTGTATTTATGCAGAATTTGGCATAGGGGGAGATGAGGGGAGTAACTGATCGATGGAGAGAAAACTCAGAAACACCAGCAACTTCTGTTTTTCTCACTAGCTAGGCTGTTCTGTCGTTTTGTTTGGGATAGGAAAACTATGAAAAGTAGGTTTTGCTAATCACTATGAATCATGACAAATAGGTCTATTAATTGTGACCCAGACTGGGAGATGCCTAAAGTTGGTGTTTATTTTATCCTTGTATTAACCCACTGGAATTTTGAGAGGACAAGAATTGCAATCCAATTTGCTATTTCATCAACAATGGAAGGATCATATTCCAGATGAAATTGCCTGGTATCTTTTGATCTGTTCAAGTTGAGTGTAATTTACTATCTACCATATGTATCACTCTGAAAGCTGGAAGAAAATGGTGTTGCAATTTTTATTTGACTTCAAAAAGTCAGTTTTGATAAAGCTAGCAACCTATTCGGCATCGAGATCTGGAAGAAAGGTGGAGTGGGGTAGGGGGCAGAGGAGGGGGAGAATTCCTAGCCCTGGTTAAGAATTAAAAACTACGAACATGCTTTATGAAAAGATACTGAACTATTGAGCAGTATCAACTTACAGCACTCCGTGGCTTAAGGAAGGGATTTATAGAGCACTTTTTCACAATCTCAGGATGTTCCAAACTCTACAGAAGTAATTAAGTAGCTGTAAAATGCAGTCTCTAGATTTTTGGTGGGGGGAGTAGGGGAGAAATGGGATAGTCACTTTGCCATTTTTCAACCATATTATTTAATGAAACAAATCATAAAATCTTACAGCAAAGGAGGTCATTATGCTTGTGCTGGCACTTTAAGTTATACAATTAGTTTGCTCTTTCCCCATATTCGTACAAGTCTTTTCTTTTCCTTAAAAATATTTATACAATTTTGTTTTGAGGTCACCATTGAATCTGCTTCCACCACCCTTGCAGGTAGTATATTATAAATGATCATATCTATATGTGGAAAGGAATTCTTCTCAGCTTCCCACTGATTATTTTGGAAATTTATTTAAAATCTTGTCCACTGCTTACTGACCTTTCTTCCAGAGGAAACAGTTCTCCCTTTCTACTTTTAAAATCCCACATGGTTTTGAACATCTGTTAAAAGTCTGCTTAACTTTGTCTGCTTTTGAGCACAGACCAGGATTCCCTACTCAATTCACATGTTGTAGTCCTTCCTCCATGGTATCATTCTAGTAAATCTCCTCTACGCCCTCTCCAATATTTTGACATCTTCTAAAGTGTGGAGCCTAGAAATGGGCAAAACTCCAGTGGAGTCCTAACTAGTATTTTGTAAAGGTTTAGCATGACTTCCTTGTGCCTGTGTGAAGCCAGAGATTCCTTAAGCTATTTTAAGTGTTCCCTCTTTATCTGTCACCTTCAAAGATTTTTGTTAAAACCCTCAATTCTCCCTGTTCTTGTACCCCTTTTAAAATTGCACATTGAACTTGCATTGCTTCTCCTCATTCTTCCTTCCAAAACACATACGTCACAGTTCTTTGCATTAAATTGAATCATAACACATACAGAATTTCAAGAATTTATGATCCTTCTCCCTGCTCAATATTTTTGAGTTTGAAGTGATGCCTTGTATACTCCTGTCCAGGTCAACAATATCAAAAGTGGCAAGGCTCACACTGATCCCTGGGACACTACTGTACACCTTTTCTCCACTCAAACACAAAATACACACCAGTTCTTTCTATGCTGTTGCAACTTTGTATGTCCAAGTAATCTCTGTTTTTGGGTATGTGATAAACAGATTAATGCACTGGTTTTATTTAAAGGGTATGATTTAAAGTGCTCAATCTTAATGTGAGCATGAGGATTTTTAATTTCTGTAAGACCATGTTATTTCTCAGGCCCCCTCTAGCTTGACATATAAAAAAAAGAAATAGAATTTGAATACATTTTTGCAGATCCAGACTGAAGAAATTTAAGCTTCATTCTGGATCCTTTGGGGAAATTGAGGAAATAGGGTATCAGCAGATTATCATCAGAGGGTAATTAGTGAGAAGATAACCTAGAGCTCAGCCCACTGGAGTAGTGGAAGTAGAAACAGTAATTCCAAAAAGAAATGGGGTGGGCAATTGGAAACAAGCTTACAGCCCCAGGGGATTAAATTTATGGGCAGTGTTGACTAGCTTAATCCATGGGGAGCCAGCATGCACATCAGCTAAATGGCCTCTTTCTGTGCATTAAAACAGGAAATGTCCGATTCAGTAATGAATCTCCTCTAGGCTTTGGTGACCTTTTATTTTTTGAAAGTGCCTACAGTGGTACTGCTTGTGTTCAGTAGTTGCCTTTGTGGGGAAGTAAATGTGAGACCTTTTGTTGTGACACACTGCAGCACTTCAAAAGCTTTGACAAGCTAAGTACAAATTGCATGGAGAGGCAGATTCCTAGAATGTCTGCCTTTATGGTGACAGTAATGCGAGCTATTTCATGTAAAATAAATAATTTGAAAGAAAAATTTTTGAAGCTACACTACTGACTAAGCAGGAGACATCAATGTGGAAAAGTAGTCAGTTTCTGAACTAGAATAATATTGTGGTTTATGATGCACCTATAGTACTTTTGACCTCAACCCTTCCATCGACCCATGTGTTTTACAATAACAGTCACAGCTCTCTGAAAAAGATCTTGATCTACCTTTGAATCAGACAGTAAAATTAACACAACCCAAATGCTAGACTGTGGTGCAGACAGTGAAGGATCTCTCGTTAGCAGCAGCAATCTGCCAATTTTTTTCTTAAGCTCAGGGTGTGGATATTGCTGACACGGCCAACATTTATACCCCTGTCCTTGGGAGCCATCTGCTTGAACTGTTGTATGGTATAAGGTGAATGTATTTTGCCAGCACTGTTAATAAACAATGACATATAACCAACTCAGGATGGCGAATGGCTTAGAGGGGATCATGGAGTGTTACCATGCAACTGTTTCACTTATCCTAAATGGTGGAAGCTGGGGGTTTGACAATGTGCTGCAGTGCATTCTGTAGATTGATATCTAAAATGGTGGATGGGATGCCAATGACCTCCATGTTTGTAGTTTGTACAATTAATGGACTGCTTTCTCCTGGGTGGTGCAGAGTTGAGTGCTTCAACTGCACTAATGAGTGTTTGGGCCTGGCACAATAGCCAGGTGTAGTCATCTTGTGTGAACAGGTGGATTATTGTCATTTTAGTGACTTTGTTGCTGGCAGTTTTGCATTCTCTTAATGTTGAGTGATGTCCCTTTGTGAGAAGTCCTTTTCCCAGCACTCCCTTTGTAAGTACTATGAATGGAGATTACAGTAAGAGTATTTTTATTATTGATGCTAAAGTGACAATGAAGCAGAAATCCCTCTTCTGAACACCCCCAGCCCTGCCCTCAACTTTCATGAGTACCCTTCCTCCTCTCTTTCATAGAATCTAGGAAACCCCAAATGGTGTTGCAAGTGGGCAATTTGTGCAATTGTCAGTTGACACTATAAAATTATTTTTTTTTAGAATAGCATCCTTTTATAGCAAGAGCAAAGTTACTGAAGGTATGCACTATTGAAACAAGTATCAGTGATTAAAATGGGGAGAATGCTATTTATGGATTGTACAGGCAGTTTGTAAACCTGATGTGAACGAACAAACTTATGGTCTGGTGTGTCTTCTTCCTATTCTCGGTTGGATTTTCATAAATTGCAACAGTATTGAGAATTTATCACCAAAGGCCTTGAGAATCAACTGGCCTTTCTCATCTTGAGCTTCTTGTCAAAATTAGTACTGGGATGATTGACTATTTGGAAGAGGATGGGAGATGGGAAGAGGCGCGAAGCTGAGAGTTTCTACCAAAGTTTTTTTTTTTTAAAAAAGCCAAAGAATCAGTTGTAAATGCTGGAACCATGAATGGTGCATTGGATTTGGGCTGGAAAAGGAGTTCACAGGCAGATTCTTGGTACTAGATTTGATGCTCTGGTAATGTGGTTTGTGTAACACTTGGAAGGGTTAGGTTTAGTAATGAGATGATGATTTATCAACAGGCTTGTCAATAAACTGCTGCGGTACTGTTTCCTGTTATTGCAGGGGTTGAAGTGGTCTTGGACTATTTGTCACATTACTGATCACATTGTATTTTTCCATTTTGAGTGTCGTGGAGGGCAGTTCATTCTTTTTATTACAGTGAGCCACAGACTGGGAAAAACTGTACAGACTAAACTTTCACTTGAGGGACATGAGCTGTACGTCTAAAGACCACTGTCACTGCTCGTCCTGCAAATTTCCTCTGGAACCTGTGAAACATTCTTGCATCACGTAGTTCAGATATAATGCTGACCATAAGACTATAATCAGAAGCATTCTTAAAACTGGACTCAGGCGTGTGCACCACTACGTGGCATCAATGACAGGATGTTTGGTTGGTGGTGCAGTGAAGTGAAGAGAATGTTATGAAATACATGAGAATTTTTGTACTATATAATTCACTATTAAATCCCATGACACATGCCAAGCTTGCTTAGTGTCTGTACAGTTATTGGGGGAATGTTTTGCCTTAAATCAGACTCAAGTGAAGGGGCAGCCTGTAACCTGTTTGGTGGCTAGAAATATCACAGCTATTCCCAACTTTTCATTATTGGTTTAAGCCATGTGTTTTGTTTCAGTCTAATGTAAAGTTATTTTTGAGTGCTGCTGGTTAAATGTAGAGATTGCTGACCCACTCTCTGGCTAAAACAAAATGCTGTACCATTTTAAGGCCATCTAACACCCCTGCTCCAGGGAGTGGCTGGCAATCTGGTTCAATAAGGGAAAGATCACTGTCAAGTTGGAGAGTAATACTGTATATAATTTTCATTCCTTCCACCCCATGTTCACTCTAAGAGAAGAACATATGCAAGTTTCTTTTTTTAAAAAAATGTAAACTGAAATGTATTAATACTGGAGACTGTAATTAATGCATGACAAACATAAGTTTTTATGACAATAAATTGATTTCAAACTAAATATAGGCCTCTTGTTCTGTGTTATCTCAGTCAAGCTAACATATAGAATTCATTTCTTTGGCTTATTTCCTGGATTACAATGAGAAGTTAATATTAGCTGACTTCAGCATCTCCTGGGAGAAGTAACGCTGCAGTATTGATCCACAGCAAAGGAAGTGTTCCTATCATCCTAGAATAATCCATATATTTAATACCAATTTGGAGACCACATTTTTAGTGTTTTAATTTAAATTAATAGTAGACCAAGTGAAAATGATTTCGGTGACTATGAACTAACAATTCAGAAATATGCTGAGTATCAACAAGCTAATGCCTGTTATGGACAGAAATCTGTCCTTACCAAGTCAGGCTTCAGTTATAGTAAACCACAAAAATGTCTAAGGAATGAAACCAGATGGACCACCTGACATTGACCAAGACACCAGAAATGACAATGGCAAGCAAAGAGCTTGTTACGACCCTACAAAGTTCTCCTTACTAACACCAAGCAGTGGCCTGACATAGTCATATGGTATGATTCTATATGTCCCAAGCAAACCATTCCTGGGTATGTCCTGGAAAAATGGGCAAGGAAACCTCCTGCTGAAGGTGGCAGCATAATAGTCAGCACCATTCATGATTCCTCAGATACTGAAGCAATCCTTATCCAAATGCAGCAAGACCTGGACAATAGGTGGGCTTGGGTTGATAAGTGGCCAGCAACATTCATGTCATACAAGAGTCATGTAAATGACCATCTTCAACAAAAGAGAATCATAATCATTGCCTGTTGGCATTAATGGTATTGCCACCACTGATCTTACACATCATCCTGGAGGTTACCAATTTTCAGAAACTGAATTGGCCTAGCCATAAAATACTATGTTTACAAGAACAGATCAAAAGCTAGGAATCTAGAAGTGAGTCTGGTAATTATGCTTTCCCTTTGGTGGGTTTCCTCACCACTGGCTGTAAAACTGCCCCCTGACCCAAAGCCTATCCACCATCTATAACGCACAAGTCTGGATGAGTGCAGCTCCAACAGTACACAAGAAGTTTGACACTATCCAGGACACAGCAGCCCACTTGATTGGCACCACATTCACTCCACTAATGGATACAGTATTAGCAGTGTGTGCCATCTAGAAGATGCATTTCTGAAATTCACCAAGGCTTCTTAACACTTTCCCAAAGCCATGACCATTACCATCAGAAGGACAAGAGCAGCAGAAGCATGTTTCTCTCCATAAATCATTCACTCAACCAACACCAAATGGACTGAAGCGGTTCACAAAGGCACCTCAAGGCAATTAAGGGATGGGCAATGAATACTGGCATAGCCAGTACTGTGATGTTCACATCCCATTAATGATTTCTTTAAAAAAATAATCACTTTCAAGTTGCTGTGTGCTGTAGGAGCTAAGCTGATTATCAGTTCTATTTATTCATTTTCTGAAGTGACAAATAACCCCTAACACCAGCTTCAATTGGACTTTAGGAGAGATTCCCTGCAGTATGGAAAGAGTCCGTTCAGCCCACTGAGTTTGCATCGACTCTCCAAACAGCATTCCACCCGGGCCCACCCTATACCTGCATTTACCAAGGCTAATCCACTGAGAATGTACATCCCTGGATACTGCGGGGCAATTTAGCATCTCAGATAACCTTCTTCACCGTCCACCATACCAACAATTTTGGTGTCATCCGCAAACATAGTGGCCTTGCCTCCTATATTCTCATTCAAATTGTTTGTATAAAAATGACGAACCACTGTGGACCCAGTACTGATCCTTGCAGCATAATGCTGGGCACAGGCCACCAGTCTGAAAAACAACCCTCTACCAACAACACCTTCTGTCTCCCACAGTCAAGCCAACTTTGGATCCCGTTGGCTCTTCCTGGATCCCACATGATCTAACCTTGCTAGCTAGTCTACCAATATCTTGTCGAAGGCTCTGCTAAAGTCCATGTAGACAATGTGTACTGCTTGGCCTTCATTTATCTTGATCACGCACAGGGTACAATTACGTCATTTAAAAGACATTTGGACAGGTACACTGATGGGAAAGGTTTAGAGGGATATAGACTAACTGCAGCCAAACGAGACTAGTTCAGAGTCAAGGAAACCTGCTCAGCATGGATGAGTTGGGCCAAAGGGCCTGCTTCTATGCTGTATGACTCTTAATTCACTTAACTTGCGGACTGTGGGAGGAAACTAGAGGACCCGGTGAAAACCCATGCAGACATGTGTACAATATGCAAACTCCAGACAGACACAAGCCCAAGGCTGGAAACGAACCCAGGTCCCTGGCACTGGAGGCAGCTGTACTAACCACGGTGCCACTGAGCTGCTCAATCCTTGAAAGGGTGTGCAGGACATTTACCAGGCAGTTTTTAGAGCTGGAGACATTTTAACTACAGGGGTTTTTCCTATAACACGTGTTCCGGCAACGCGAATTGGCTGACGAATAGGAGAACAGTATTTGTAAAACGTGAACTCTGTGTTGGCTATAACATGGTTCCAATGTCGACATCACATGATTGGTTTGTGGGTTTTGTTCTGAGCATGTGCCAAAAGAGTCCCCGCACTGGCATCAAGGATCCTCATGTTTTCTGTGAGAGATACTGTACAATTCTGCTGAGTTACCCACAAAATGAAAGGTCAAAGTGGCAAGAATGATAACAAGAAGCATTCTGGTGATAAAAATTCTGTGTGGTGTATGTAAAAGGCTATAACGCTGGAAGAGAAGCTAAATGTTGTAAAGTGTTGTTTCGAGCGGAATGAGAGAACTTGTGATATTGCTCGTGCAACAGGAATGAAGGAGTCTACCTTACCCATCATTCGAGACAATGCAGAAAAGATTAAAGCAAGCTGTATTGCTGGAACAAGTCTGAATGCTAGCAAATCTGAGGTCATGGACAAAGGAACTTGAGGAGATGGAGCAGCTTCTAAGTGTGTGGCTAGAAGAACAAACAAAGAAGTGATCTGAGACCACCCTTCTCACCATAAAAGAGAAAGCCTTGTCATTTTATGAAGATTTGACAAAACAAGCTGAAAATCCAGCAAATGTACTTGCCTTTAATGCTATGCTTTTCATAATGTAAAGTTATGTGGCGAAGCTGCCAGCACAGACGAGGAGCATGCGAGCATTTCATCCCATAGTAAAAAAATTCACTGACAAAGAAGGCTACAACTTAGATCAAATTTTCAATTAGAATGAGACCGGTTTATACTGGAAGTGAATGTCATCAAGAATCTGCATTTCTATGAATGGAGCACACTCTCCAGGATTTAAGGTTGCAAAGGATCGCATGACTGTGCTGCTGGGTACCAATGCCAGTGGAGACTTAAAAGCTTAAGCCTTTGGTGGTGTACCACTCTGCCAACCCACAAGCCTTGCAAGTTTACCTTAAGTCTACTCCAGGCGTCTACTTTACGTCAAGCAAAAGAGGTTGGATGACTGGGCAAATTTTTTTCTGACCTTATTAAGATGTTTTTGAAGATGTTTTCAGACAGTATTGCAGGAAAAAAATGTGAATTTCAAGATTCTCCCCATCCTGGATAATGCACCAAGCCATCCATGCTGTTCCTGTCTCCAAATACAATCTCTCTCCTTCAATCCCTGGACCAAGATGCAATAGCAGCTTTTAAAGCTTATTATTTAAGGTGCACATTTAAGAGGATGATTGTAATCACTGAGGGTGATAAGGACAGCATTCTTCAATTTTGGAAGAGCTTTAACATCAAGAATGCAATTGACATTATCGTGGAGGTCTGGGGAGATGACAGTAAAGACTGCTTGCGTGCAGTTTGGTGGAAGCTTTACCCAGATTTTTTTCAAGATTTAAAAAGCTTTGATCTGTCAGAGCTCCCAAGAATCAAGGAACATCGTGTTGATCTTGCAAAGAAGTGGAGAATGAGGATGTTGAAGAGCTGCACGAGTCTCACTGTGAAGACCTCTCTGCCACTGATCGACAACAACTTGTCACTGAGGGGAAAGTTGAAGCTGGAGGTGAAGAAGATGAAGCACCACGAGAGCTTTCTACTTATTTTGTTTTCTATCCTGAGGGAAATTGAGAAGCAGTTGCAATGATTAGAGGACAATGATTACAATGCAGAATGCAGCAGGGTAGCAGTTTGTGGAATAAGATCTAATTTGGCAACCTATGAACTGCTTCTTCATGAACAAAGAAAAAGGGCAAAGCAGCAAAAACTGGATGTCTTTTTTAAGCCAACCCCCAAGAAACAGTCATAAGACAATGAACCACAGCACCCACTTCTGGATTAACTATTTTTCACTGCAAACAAAACTGCACCTGAAGGTGAAGGTGGTGGTGGTGATGACGATGACAACAACAACCCTCAGACCCTCCTCCCCCATTAAGTCACCTTAAAAAATTGTCAAGAGAAGGTGATAAATTTACTGTTATTTCATACTGCATGTGAATTAAACATTTGTTCAAACTGTGCTATCCTTTTGAGAGATTTTTGAGTGATTTTTTTTTGTTGGTCTGCCCCAACCCCCTTTTTCCAATAGGCCCTGTTATTTCTATAGCATGATTTTCTATAACACATCATTTCACATGAACGCATCTATCACATTATAGCAGAACCCCCGGTATAACGTTAAGTTGAAGAAGCTACGATTGTTCCCTTTGGAGTAGGAGAAATATGACAGATGTACAAAGTAGGCTTAGATAAAAGAAAACCAGGGAAAATCTATCCCATCAGCTGATGGCACAAAGAGTAGGGGCACAGATTTATGGTGTTGGATGAAAAAAATGCAGATGGGATTAGAATGATTTTTTTTTTGAACTCGGGGTATTGACCTGGAGTACTCCGACTTTTAGAGGAGTTGAAGCAGAAATGGTCATTGATTTCAAAAGAAATTAAATGGTCACTAGAGGGCAATAAATTTGCTGGGTTACTGAGGAATGGCACAGTGGTTAGCACTGCTGCCTCACAGCGCCAGGGACCCAGGTTCGGTGCCACCCTCGGGTAACTGTGTGGGTTTCCTGAGT